CCAAGCTTGAGTTTTTGTTGTTGTTGTTGTTGTTGTTTTCTGAGACAAAGTCTCAATCCGTTACTCAGGCTGGAGTGCATTGCACGATTTCGGCTCACTGAAACCTCCACCTCCTGAGTTCAAGCAATTCTCCTACCTCAGCCTCCCAAGTAGCTGCGATTACAGGTGCGCACTACCATGCCTGGCTAATTTTTTTGTATTTCTAGTAGAGACGGGGTTTCACCATGTTGGCCAGGCTGGTCTCAAACTCCTGATCTCAGGTGATCCGCCTGCCTCAGCCTCCCAAAGTGCTGGGGTTACAGGCATGAGCCACCACGCCTGGCCCCAAGCTTGAGTTTTTAACCACTATATACTATACCACCTCCAAGGCATGAGACTGCAGTACAAAGGCTATACTAGAGGAGGATTTCAAAGGTAGAATCAACAGGCTGGGATTGAGAGCCAGAGAAGGAGTCAAGAATGAACGGCTCCTAGGTTTCTGGTTTAGAGACTGGGTTGTTGGTCTACTATTAACACTGAGAACACGGGAAGGGTACAGTTAGGGAAATGTGAGTTTCACTTGGACAGGTTATATCTACAGGTATACATTTAGAAATTATCAGTCCATCAGTGGTGTTAAAATCACAGGAGTCAGTGAAATGTTCTTAGAAGAGTATATAAAGTAAGAAGAGAAAATAGCAAAGGGCAGCACGTTGGGGGACACTAGCATTTAAGAGGCAGACAGAGGGCCCAGCAAAGGAGATGCAAATGGAATTTTCAGAGAAGGAAAGAGAGAGCCAGGAGACAGAACGTTATGGAAGCCAGGTGAAAAAAAAGAGTGCAAGGATGTGGTGGATACAGAAAGGAATCAAACAAGAAAATGATTCAGAAATGGTTGCTGGATAATTGGGAGGTCATTGGAGCCTTGGTGAGAACAGTTTCAGTCCCTGCCCTCTCCCTAAATCATCCTCCCTTCTTAAGGGAAGCCTACTGAGTGAAGGACAAACTCAGCTGCATGTTTGGCCCTGACCAGGCTGTGGTAGCATCTCAAAGGCCCAGCTGTCTGCAGAAGCTGCGGACAGCTGGGTTAGCCTGCCTTGGGCATGGGACTCAGGACACACCACCCCAAAATATGACTGTAGGAAACTGTAATATGCCACCTCAAAATATACTTCTTTGGCATATTTTGAGCACGTTATTCTGAGAAACTGCAGACACAGGAGTAGCTCTGAAAAGTTGTCCTTTCATAAAAGAAATTTATATCTGCAAAGGAAATCTACATTAGTAAAGTATCTGTATCAGGAAGAGGGCTGCTCTGAGATAACTTTTGTTTGTCCTAGCCAGACAACCTCTGTTCACCATGCACTTGCTCCCCTCACCCTCCAATAACTTGGATCAACACCACCCCTGAGATGCCCCAACCTCTATTCCTTTCTGTAGCTGGGGATGCTATATAAACATCAATCATCTGACCTTTCTTTGAGTCTCATGTGTTATAGGACTCCTGTGTATATGCACATACAGTCATGAGCCTCATAACAATGTTTTGGTCAACAACAAATCACATATACAATGGTGGTGCCATAAGATTATAAGAGACCTAAAATATTCCTATCACCTAGTGATGTTGTAGCCACCCTAACATCTTAGTACAACACGTCACTCACATGTTTGTGGTGATGCTGGTGTAAACAGACCTACCGTGCTGCCAGTCATATATATATGTATAGTAATGTCCTAGGCTGGATATGGTGGCTCATGCCTGTAATCCTAGCACTTTGGAGGCTCATGCAGGAGGATTACTTGAGCCCAGGAGTTCAAGGCCAGCCTGGACAACATAGTGAGACCCTGTCTCTACACGAAAAAAAATTTTTTAAGTTAGCTGGGCATGGTGGCACACGCCTGTAGTCCCAGCTAGTCAGGAGGCTACTAGGAAGGATTACTTGAGCCCAGGAGGCCAAGGCTGCAGTGAGTTGTGATTTCACCACTGCACTCCAGCCTGAGTGACAGAGAGAGACTCTGTCTCAAAAAACAAAAACATAAACAAAAAATGGTAATGTCCTAGGCCTTCACGTTCACTCACCACTCACTCACTAACTTGTCCAGAGCAACTTCCAGTTCTGCAAGTTCCACTCATGGTGAGTGCCCTATACGGGTGTACCATTTTAAATCTCCTTTTTTTTTTTTTTTGAGACAGGGTCTCCCTTTGTCACCCAGGCTGGAGTGCAGTGGTGTGATCTCGGCTCCCTGCAACCTCCGCCTCGTGGGTTCAAGCAATTCTCCCGCTTCAACCTCCCCAGTCGCTGGGATTACAGGTGTGTGCCACCACGTGCAGCTAATTCTTGTATTTTTAGTAGAGACAGGGTTTCACCATGTTGGCCAGGCTAGTCTCGAACTCCTGGCCTCAAGTGATCCACCCACCTCAGCCTCCCAAAGTTCTGGGATTACAGGTGTGAGCAACTGCACCCCACTTAAATCTCTTATACCATCTATTTAGGGTACTTCTTCTGTTTAGATATGTTTAGATACACAAATATCATTGAATGATATTTGGTGACAGTATTCAGGAGAGCAACATGCTGTACAGGTTTGTGGCCTAGGAGCAATAGACTATACCAGAGAGCCTGGGTGTGTAGTAGGCTACACCATCTAAGTTTGTGTAAGTACACTCTATGATGTTTGCACAACGATAAAATCACCTAATGATGCATTTCTCAGAACATATCCCTGTTGCTAAGCAAAGCATGACTGTAATTAAAATGGTTTTTCTCCTGCTAATCTGTCTTATGTCAATTTAATTTGTAGCCCAGCCATAGAATCTAGAAAGGTAGAGAGAAGCCATTTTTTCACTCTGCCACAGCACCATCTATAGCACCCAGCACTAGGCCTGCACATAGCAGGCATTTAGCAAAGGCTGCAGGCCAAATGCAGGTGAGCCCCATCGCTTCATAATTTTGTTTCTGGCAAAGCCCTGTTTACTTAAAAGAGGACTTTCCCTAGGCAGTGAGGATGTTTGCTTTCTGATGCAGGCCACCCTTGGTGAGTTAGGGCATTATATTCCCATCGTCCTGGGGCCTGCTGTCCTCTCATTAAGCAGAAACTGTAGGTTGCAGATCAGTGGAGTTGGAAAAAGGAGTCTGGGGGGAGTCTCTTCTGATCTCCAGGAGTTTCCTGACTATCAACCTTTCACCCTGTTCCCAAATGTGAAACCACCACACAGAAGCACAGTATGTGAGAGAGAGAGAGAGAGAGAGAGAGAGAGTGTGTGTGTGTGTGTGTGTGTGTGTGTGTGTGTGAGAGAGAGAGAGAGAGAGAGAGAGATCACTTCCAGGACAGCTCAAGCCCCATTAGAGCTTGCTATCACAGGTCAGGCCAGGTGCAGTCTGTAATCCCAGCACTTTGGGAGGCCAAGGCAGGACAATCATTTGAGCTCAGGAGTTTGAGACCATCCTGGGTAACATATCAAAACCCCATCTCTACAATAATAATAATCATAAAAATAATAATAATTAGCCAGGTGTGGTGGCACATGCCTGTGGTCCCAGCTACTCAGGAGGCTGAGGTGAGAGGATCACTTGAGCCCAGGACGGTAGAGGGCTGCAGTAAGGCTATGATTCATCTATGCACTTCGCCTAGTGCAGAGCAAGGAATCCTGTCTCAAAAAAAAAAAAAAAAAAAAACAACACAAACAAAACAAAAAAAACTTGCAATCACACCAGGTGTAGTGGAAGGGCCCTAGGTTATCCCTGGTCAAAACAACCTAGGTTTGGCCGGCGCGCAGTGGCTCACGCCTGTAATCTAGCATTGGGAAGCAAGGCAGGCGGATCACCTGAGGTCAGGCGTTTAAGACCCAGCCTGCAACATGTGAAACGCCACAGTCTCTACAATATACAAAATTAACCAAAGGTGTATGGCAGGGCACTGTTATCCAGCTACTTGTGGAGGCTGAGGCAGGAGGACCACTTGACCCAGGAGGGAGAGGTTGCAGTGGAGCCGAGACTGCGCCACTGATCCACCTTAGGCGGCACAGGCAAGACTTCTGTCTCAAAAAAAAAAAAAATAATGACTGGCACGGTGGCTCAGCCTGTGAATCCGCACTCTTGGGAGGCTGAGGCAGTTGGAATACTTTGACGGTCAGGAGTTTGAGATCAGCCTGCGGCCAACATTGATAACCTCATCTCTACTAAAACTACAAAAATGGTGGTCTGTGGCGTGCAAACTGTAATCCCAGCTAACGAGAAGGCTGAGCGGAAGAATCACTTGAGCTCGGAAGGGAGGGTTGCAGTGAAGTACCGAGATGTGCCACGTCGAACTCCAGCCTGGGTCGATAGAGACTCCGTCTCAAAAAAAAAAAAAAAAAAAAAAAAAAAAAAAGGCCGGCGCGGTGCCCAGCCTGTAATCCAGCACTTTGGGGAGGCCGAGACGGGCGGATCACTGAAAGGTCAGGGAATCGAGACCCATCCTGGCACACGGTGAAAACCCCGTCTCCTACTAAAAAAATACAAAAACTAGCGGGCGAGGTGCGGGCGCCTGTAGTCCACGCTACTCGGAGGCTGAGGCTAGGAGAATGGCGTAAACCACGGAGGCGGAGCTTGCGTGGCTGAGTCCGCCACGGCACTCCAGCCTAGGCGACAGAGCGAGACTCGTCTCAAAAAAATAAAAAAAAAAACAAAAACAAAAAAAAACCTAGTCTAACCCCAGCTACATGACTGCTCTTTGACCTTAGTTAAGTCACATCTGCTGTCTGAGGCTTGGTCCCCTCCTCTGTGAAATGAGGGGATGAAGTAGATGATATCTGGGGGTGTAACTAGTAAGCGCCCCTCTGATGCCTTGATTCATTTCTTGAAGTGAGGGACTTGAGGGGGTGTGTCTGCAGCACTATCGAGGTTTAGCACTAAGATACGGCCCCAGAACTGCCACTCAAATAATTCCCTAGGAGTGGAGGGTGGTACCTGGTTGTCTAGTAACCTCCAGGGCTTTGAGCTAACAGCTAGGGAGGTAACCCAAGCCGGAGGGGCCATTCCAGAGAGACAGCTGCGGAGAAGACCCAAGGAGGTAAGGTGTCCTGCAGTGGGCGTCCCCACACTGCATGGGGGTAGTCAGGAATGCCCTGGAGTGGAAGGCCTTGAAAAGGCAGGATTTCTGGGTGTTCTTAGAAGTGAGGGGAACTTCTTTTAAAAGAGACTGTTTTTCCTCTACCTGCCCCTCCTAAAAAATGGGGAAAAAGAATAAAATGGGAGGGGTCAAGAGGCCAGGGCCTGGGTCTTTTCCACTCTTTTTTCCGTCTCCTGGGAGGAGAGTTCATGAAAAGCCTTTGCCCTTCAAGGGGAAAGATACTAACAGGATATACAAGCTGATGAGATGCTTGTGTTCGGGAGGCTCTGGAGACCAGAGCAGGAGGCTGGGGGCCTGGAACCAGCCAGCAGACAGAAAGCAGAAGAAATGGAGAAAGCGAGCTTCCCCTTGAGCTAGGGAAGGGGCAGTAAATGGATGTTCCATCCCACACCACACTCCTTTTCAGAGAATCCTGCTCTCCTGGAGGTTGGCTCCTTGCCAATTCAGAAGCCTCCTCACCCTAGGGTCCCCAGTGCCTAGTGTGGCTCCCAGCACATAGCAGGGACTTACTGAGTGCTTGTTGAACTGACCTAAACTACATCTTGAGATTAGATAGCAGGAGTACCCAGATGATGAGTGGGTGGGTATTAGTAGAGGGACAGTGTGAAGGAGGTTATGGAGGAGAGGCCCTGCATATGTGGTTCCTTCATCTATTTATTTGCAGTTTTTTTTTTTTTTTTTTGAGATGGAGTCTCACTCTGTCACCCAGACTGGAGTGCAATGGCATGATCTCAGCTCACTGCAACCTCCACCTCCCAAGTTCAAGCAATTCTCCTGCCTCAGCCTCCTGGGTAGCTGGGATTACAGGTGTGCACCACCACGCCTGGCTAATTTTTGTATTTTTAGTAGAGACAGGGTTTTGCCATGTTGGCCAGGCTGGTCTCTATCTCTTGACCTCGTGATCTGCCCACCTCAGCCTCCCAAAGTGCTGGGATTACAGGTATGAGCCACTGCACCTGGCCTATTTGTTCATTCCAAAAACATTTGTATGGTGGTAACATATATATAACATACAATTTACCATTTTAATCATTTTAAAATGTGCAGTTCAGTGGCATTAAGTACACTCACATTATTGTGCAATCAACACCACCATCCATCTCCAGAACTTTTTCATCTCCTTCCAAAAACATTTATTGTGAATCTACTATGTGCCAGACCCTGCAAGTTGCTCCAAATCTAGTAGCGGGGGGAAGACAAGAAAGTCATCAACTCTGACCCAGTGTGATAAATGCTATAAAAGACGTAGGTATCAGGTGCTATGGGACCACAGGAGTACCCAGTTGGTTGAGAAGAAGGTGTGTTCTGAAGCAAGCTGTTACTTGACTTGAGTCTTGAAGGAGGACTAAGAATTAGTCAGGACGTTAGAGTGAGAGTGGATATGGTACCCAGTGGGACAGAAGAAACAAAGTGAGAGGTCAGAGAGCAATCCTTGAAACCCTGAGGGTCATGCTAGGGCGGGGTAGAGCTGAATTTCTCGAAGGAGATCCTGCTCTAGAGGAAGCCAAGGCTGACATACCGATCCCTCTGTTCCCCTCTGTCAGCTCTATGTCTTCCCCCAACCCTGAGGATGTGCCCCAGAGGCCAGAGCCTGAGCCTTCAAGCTCCAATAAGACAAAGAAGAAAAGAAAGTGGCTGTGGCAAGAAGCCAGCATCCAAGCCCTCACCAGGGCTGGCCACGGAGCCCTTCAGGCTGGCCGGAACCATGAAGCCTTGAACAACTTCCAGAGGGCCTTCCTTCTGGCCTCCAAGACCCCACAAACCGGGGACACCCTGGTGCTCCGGGCCTGTGCCTTCAACCTGGGGGCTGCCTATGTGGAGACTGGGGACCCAGCCAGAGGCCTTGAGCTGCTCCTGCGAGCCCACCCTGAAGAGAAGGCACAGGGCAGGCGTCATGGAGACCAGTGTTTCAATGTGGCTTTGGCCTACCATGCCCTTGGCGAGCTGCCTCAAGCTTTGGCCTGGTACCACAGGGCCCTGGGCCACTACCAGCCACAGGGTGACCAGGGAGGAGCCTGGGCAAAAATGGGAGCCTGCTACCAGGCTCTGGGACAGCCTGAGCTAGCAGCCCACTGCCTGCAGGAAGCAAGCCGGGCCTATGTCCAAGAGAGGCAGCTGCAGGCCGCAGCCCTGGCACTGGGGGCTGCGGCAGGATGTATGCTGAAGAGTGGGCGGCATCGGGTAGGGGAAGTTGTACAGGTGCTGGAGAAAAGCCGGAGGCTTGCCAAGAGGAGCACTGAGAGGGGACTGCTGGGTGAGATCTTTGGGCAGGGAAGGTGTGGGATCTGGGGAGACACAAAGCCTGGTGCTATTCAGAGGGCTGGGTTTGGGGAACCCTGGAGGAGTGGATAGGGGCTGTACCAGCCTTATTTATATGGGGTCCGGCTATCAGTGACCCTGGCTATGCCCTCTAGGGCACCTCTATAATGATCTAGGCCTGGGCTACTGCCAGCTCCGGCTGTTTCCGCTGGCTGTGGAGGCCTTCCTGCAGGCCCTTCCTCTGTGCTGGGTGCCAGGAGAGCAGGCCACAGTGCTAAGAAACCTCGGGATGGCCCACAACGCTCTTGGCAACTATCAGGAAGCTCAGGAGTTTCACCAGAAGGCTGCTGACCTGCACGGTGGGTGCCCGGGGCCGGGGAATGGGACTGGGACTAAGACACTAAGAAGGGTTTCCAAAAGGGGCCCCAAGGCTTAAGGGTGGATGGCCCTTTGGGACCACTTATGGAGCCTGAAAACCCATAACCAGTGGGGGAGAGCTGGAAGTGCAGGAGATGGGACAGACAGGACAGAGGGTTGTGGGCCCAGAGGCTGAGACCTCAGGGTTGGGAAGGCAGTAGTCGGCAGGGGGAAGGGTACTGGCTGGGAGAGGAGGCCTGAAGTGGAATTCAGCCCCTCTGCTGACTGTGTGACATTCAGGAATCACTTTCTCTTTCCGAGCTTCAGTTTTCGCATTTATAAAAACAGGGCCATTAATATCTGCCTTGCCTGTATCACAAGGTTGTTGCCTGACTCAAACTAGCCAGGTGGAGGCACTCACACCAGAACTCAGGATGGGTCCAGGCTGGGAGTGGAGGGTTCAGGCCTCTCGGATGCATCTGGAGTGTGCTGGGGCTGGGCACCAGGCCTCCTGGGAGCTCTGTCTTGGTTGCTGGAGGGCGGAGTCCTAATGTCCCAGCAGCCAGAGTCCCCTCTGAGGATGGGGTGGGCTCTGTCCTCAGGCTCTGTGGGGCAGCGGTGGGAGCAGGGCCGGAGCTTTGGCAGCCTGGCCTTTGCATTGAGCCAGCTGGGGGACCACAAGGCTGCCAGAGACAACTACCTGCATGCCTTGCAGGCTGCCCGCGACTCTGGTAAGCGTGAGGGGGTTGGCATGTGACTGGGCCAGCGGGGAGGCTGAGGGTCCTAGGAGCTGGTCGGGAGGCAGATGGAGGGAACTGAGGGTAGGGAGTGCCTCTGAAGGGGCGGGTCAGTGGGGTAGGGAGCCATGAAAGGACCTTCCAGGCTCTCTTTCTCAGGGGACATGAAGGGACAGTGGCAGGCCTGTGAGGGTCTGGGGGCTGCTGCAGCCAGGCTGGGGCAGTATGACCAGGCCTTGAAGTACTATAAGGAAGCACTGGCCCAGTGTCAGGTGAGACCCTGTATCCCGGAATCCACCTCTCCCCTGCTATCCCTCTTCTGGCTGACATTCCTGCCTTCACTCCTTGCCTTCTCCCACAGCATCGGACACACTGTGTGCTAGGTGTTGGGATACTATTGTGAGGAAGAGTCCATCACTGTCTGCAATTCTGGGCAGGTGGTGGCAGGACCCTGGGAAAGGCATGGGGATGGGGTAGAAAAGAGGGGGAAACAAAGTCCCGCTCCCTCCTCCCTTTCCTGCTTCCTTCTTCCCCAACCCCCAGAGGACCACAAAGTCCAGGCATTCCCCATTACCCTATTATCACCCTCTCCCCAGAAGGAGCCACATTCTGTGCGAGAACGGCTGGTGGCCAAGCTGGCAGACACCGTGAGGACGCACTTGGCCCAGGTGGGGCTGGTCACACCCTGGTGAGATGACACCTGAGACAAGGAGATGGGGGTGGAGAGAGGTTGGTTACCCAGAGAAGGGGTTGGTGGTAAGCATAGCCGATGTTCCCTGGGATGCGGCGCGCTTGGCAGCTCATCTGTGTTCATCCGCCTTGAGCCTGCGCATGAGATATGTCACTTTCCAGGGGTGGGAGGTGGGTGTGGGACTGCGGCATGTCTCGAACACAAGGGCTGATATGTAGGTGATTAAAAATAAATAAATAAATTTAAAAGAATCGGTAGACCATGTGTGCAAGGAAGTAGAAAGTTTCAAGTCCTTGACTGCAGTTCCCTAAATGGCCACAGGATGGAGATGTGCTCCAAGGAAGTCCCTCTCTCCCGTCTTTAAGTCTCCAGAGTTCATTTCTCTGTGGGTCTACCACCGTGTTACTCCTTCCCTGTCTCTGCTTTAACTTGTTTCTATCTCCGGGTCTCTTTGTATGATTCGTTGACTCTCCAACCGCCTCCTCCTTCACATTTTCAGACAACCCCAGAAAACCTCTTCCCACTCCAGGAATTGAAATTATACTTTAATATTTATATGTATGTAATAGATTTTATGCTCCCGCATTTTAAAGATCACATTTAAAGACACCATATTTAAAATCTGCAAGAAAAATTAAATTGCCTGGTACAGGCAGAGGATTGGATTGAGGGGTCAGAATACCTGGGTCCCAGCCAATGTCTGCCACCTACTTTCTGTGACTTTACCATATCAGGCCCCAGAAGGGATGGGGTGGCCATTAGACACTGGCCAGGTCTGCTAGTCCCTAAATCTGAATTCAAGCTTGAGAGTTACTAGCAGGGACCTTAATAGAACAAAGAACCTCACCCCAGAATTGTATTCTCAGAGACCCTGGCACACACATAGCTGGGATGGCTGTTTTTCTCAGACCTAGTCCCTCTACTCCCCTTCGTTCCCAGACCTCGGCTCCGGGAAGACTCCAGGCTCCAGGTGGGGCCAGCCAGGTGGAGGGGACCCCAGCAAAGGCAGGAAGCAGTGCAGCAGGTGCCCAGCACAGGTGAGGGTGGGAACGGTGCAGCAGGGATGTATGCAGCCTCTGCAGGGTGTTGGGGGCTGTCGCAGTGGGGTAGGACCCCATGCATACCCCCAGGGAGGAGGGGACTGGTGTCTCTCTGCCAAGCTGTGCCCTCGTTCCTTGCCCCTACAGATCTTCCAGTGGGTGGGAAGATGAAGAGTTTGAGGAGGGCCACCAGGAGAAAAAAGAGGAGAGGTCGGCAAACGTTCCCATGAGGGCTGGGCCGGGGAGACTGGAGCGTGAGTTGATATAGAGTATTCCTGGTGGTGCCTCTCCGCACTGCAAATGTGGCACTCCCGCCCCCACCTGCCTGCCTCCACTTCTTACACCCATCCTGCCATCCCACCTTCCTGTTGTCATTTCTCTGAGGCCTGGCACAACTTCGCACCACCCCTGACCCTGACTGTCCCAGTTCACAACTCCCCAACAGCCCTCCCCTGATTTTTGCTTGTCTCTCAAGGCCCTGGACCATTTTCCCTGAACCCTTTCTAGAACTGCCTCTTTCTTCCTGCTCTCATGGCTTTCCTAACTTCTAGAACTTTGCATCTTGGACCCCAGGGTTTTGTTGAAAGCCTACTTTATGCCCAACACAGCACTGGGCGCTGCTTGTAATCCCCAGCTCACTATTCAATAGCCTCTCCCACAAAGACTTGCAACTCGGGGAGCAGAGTTCCTTGCTACTTATTGAGTTGACCTGAATTTACCAATGTCTCCTTTTCAGTGTGTTTCCTTCCAGGCACAGTGAATCATTCCCACCATCTAGCTTCTAGTTGCCCCATGTTTACCAAGCACTCGCCCTGCAGAGGGACAGTCCTCGGCAAAGCCTCCGTGTATAGTGAGCAGTGCATCCCCTGACACCGCCCCAACTCCTGGTTCTTCTCCAGAGCTTTTTTCCACCATGATAGTTCTTGGTGCAGAGAGGCATGTGATGAATGTGTCTGTCCTTCTCCATCTAGGTCCAGGACCCAGGGCCCATTTTCCATTTGTAGGTCGAGGCCCTCCCAGAGCGGAGTACCCTAGCATCCTGGTACCCAATGGCCCTCAAGTCAATAGGTGGGTCCTTGGGGGAGAACAGGAGGCCTAGAGAATAGCAAAGAAAGTAGAATATGTGGCTTGGGATGATATTAATGGAACATGACTGCTGTTGAAGTTAGGGGAAGCTGGGATCTCATGCTTGGGATATAGGGCCCCGAGCTCCCCTTTGTCTTTGCCCTTTAGCAATATGAACAACCCTCACCCAGCTCTGGAAGCCCGGGGCATGCCCTGCTTCCTGAATGGCCTGATGGTAGGCCTCAGTGAAAGACAGGGTGCTGCAGGATGGGGGGATATGAAGCTTAAGCCAACTCCCTCCTTCTCTGGAGCCCACCAGCAGAGGTAAGGGCCAAATAGGGCAAAGGAAGCCGAAGCCAGGGCAGGCTGCCTCCTGCTGTCTCCCCAGTCACCCCCACTGGCAAGGCCCTCCCTGCCTTTTTCAGGTCATCCAAGTGGCCCAGGGAAAGCCTCAGCAGGAGCTGCCAGAGGAGACCCATGGAGTCGGGCATCTGCACTATCGTGTGACCTCCCCCTGCTGGCCGCAGCCCTCATCGCTGAAGCACCTGCCCAACACGCACATGCTAGGGGGGTCCTGGGGACCAAGCCTCTTCCCAGTTGCTCAGCCCTGCAGGGGTGCGGAACACAGTGCAGCTAGTGGACTCCTGAGGATGCTGGGCAAGGGTTTTTTGCAGGCTCAGCCCTGAGAGGTTCTGTTTGTTCTTCCTTGGGATTTTTGGACTCAGTAGGTAAAATAAAAAAGGAAAATGGATGGCAAATTCCCTTTGTCTTTCTGGATCCAAATCTTATGATTGCTAGGGGCCTGGGAGTTCTAAAAACTGACTTCGTGGTCAAGTAGCTTTGGAGTCACTGACTGTCTCCAGACCTCCATTTTTGCCTATGGGAAATGAGGATATAATACTACAGAAGAGGCATCTTACCCAACCGATGCACCCTACTTCCTCTGTGAAACATAGGGGATGCTGGGCGCAGGCCTAGGCTGTAGCCTGTAGGACAGCTCCTGCCAGCAGCCACAGGAACAATGATGTGATGTAACATGTCCTAAGTACTTAGCTCATGCCCCACCCTATTCTAGGTGCTTCACAAGTGTATTCTCCTCTAATCCTCACAACAAATATATGAGGTGCTATTATCATCCCCTTTCACAAATGAGGAAAATAAGGCACAAAGCTTCAGTAGTCTGAATTCCCAGATCACATAACTAGTATGTAGAGAAGCTGGGAATCAAATCCAGGCAGTGAGCACTTTCTAGAATGCTGTGCAGTTCCACTCCCCCAGCTAAGCCCTTGCTTACCCAGAGGCAGTTGTGATTTAATACCAAGTGTGTTTATGCCCATTGTGTGTGTTACTGTAATTCATAATTTAATTAAATACTATATACATTGATGAACAGGCCAGGTGAAATGGCTCATCCCTGTAATCCTAGCACTTTGCAAGGCCAAGGTGGGAGGATTGCCTGAGCCCAGGAGTTTGAGACCACCATGGGCAACATAGTGAGACCCCATGTCGATGTAAAAGAAAATGTATCTTTAAAAAAAAATAAATTGATGAACTGAGAGTGGAAAACAAATCACTGTTTCTATAAAAACTAAGTTGGGGCCGGACGCGGAGGCTCAAGCCTGTAATCCCAGCACTTTGGGAGGCTGAGATGGGCGGATCACGAGGTCAGGAGATGGAGACCATCCTGGCTAACACGGTGAAACCCTGTCTCTACTGAAAAATACAAAAAACTAGCTGGACGAGGTGGCGGGCACCTGTGGTCCCAGCTACTCGGGAGGCTGAGGCAGGAGAATGGTGTAAACCCGGAAGGCAGAGCTTGCAGTGAGCTGAGATCCGGCCACTGCACTCCAGGCTGGGCGACAGAGCGAGACTCTATCTCAAAAAAAAAACAAAAAAAACAAAACTAAGTTGGATCTTTAGAAGACTCCACTAAAGTAAGTTACTTTTTCTGTATTATTATTATTCTTTATAATAATATATTTTTCCTCCAGTGATGGAGGAAAAAGTGAATTTATTTATTTATTTATTGAGACAGGGTCTTGCTCTGTTGCTCAGGCTGTAGTGCAGTGGCAAGATCACATCTTACTGCAGCCTCAAACCCCTGGGCTCAAGCGACCTTCCCACCTCAGCCTCCCACTAGGACTACAGGTGCACCACCATGCCAGGCTAATTAAAAAATACATATATGTATAGAGACAGGGTCTCACTATGTTGCCCAGGCTGGTCTCAAACTCCTGGGCTCAAGCCATCTTCCCACCTTGGCGTCCCAAAGTGTTAGGATTACAGGTGTGAGTCACTGCGCCCAGCCTGAGTGTCACTTTATTTATTTGTTTATTTATTTATTTATTTATTGAGATGGAGTCTCACTCTGTCTCCCAGGCTGGAGTGCAATGGCGTGATCTCGGCTCATTGCAACCTCCACCTCCCGGGTTCAAGCGATTCTCCTACCTCAGCCTCCCGAGTAGCTGGGATTACAGGTGCATGCCACCAAGCCCAGCTAATTTTTGTATTTTCAGTAGAGATAGGGTTTCGCCATGTTGGCCAGGCTGGTCTCAAACTCCTGGCCTCAGGTGATCCTTCTGCCTTGGTCTTCCAAAGTGCTGGGGTTACAGGCGTGAGCCACTGCAGCCGACCTCTGAGTTACTTTAAGAAGCTACTGTGGGCTGGGCACGGTAGCTTATGCCTGTAATCCCAACAGTTTGGGAGGCCAAGGTGGATGCATCACTTGAGGCCAGGAGTTTGAGACCAGCCTGGCCAACATGATGAAACCCTGTCGGTACTAAAAATGCAAAAAATTAGCTGGGGCATGGTGGTGCACGCCTGTAATCTCAGCTACTCGGGAGCCTGAAGCAGGATAATTCACTTGAACCTGGAAGGTGGAGGTTGCAGTGAGCTAAGATCATGCCATTGCACTCCAGCCTGGGCAAGAGAGTGAGACTCTGTCTCAAAAGAAAAGATAAAAGCTGCTATGGAATTAGATGTGAGCAACAAGATTATTACAAATTGGGAGAATAATCATAAAAATATAAATAAATTCTACACTCAAGATTGCTTCAAACATGCCATTAACTGTTTCACTTTAAGGAAGTAAACTGGAAATTGCAGGTGATACATAACTGGTGAGGTTTATGTAAGAAAGATGAGGAATCCAATCACGGGCTCCATCCTCAAAGAAAAGACCCTGACCACACTTGACAGATGGAAAATTAACGTATTTTTTTTAAGTTGAAATAAAATAATCCACTCCTGAGCATGTCAGATAACAGAACGTAGGGAAGGCAAAACTTTACCTCTATCCTGTTAGGGTCTCTGGCTGGGACAGAGAATTAAATTGACATAAAACAGATTAACAAGAGAAAAGCATACAGATTTACTTAATATAAATTTTATGTGACACAGGAGCCCTCATAAAGCAATGAAGACCCAAAGAAGGAAAACCTAAATGTTTTGTACTAGGTTGAACAAAGAGCTAATTGTGGAAAAGCAGCTAAAATATATGAGGAGGCCAGTCGCAGGGGCTCACACCTGTAATCCCAGCACTTTGGGAGGCCAAGGTGAGTGGATCGCTTGAGCCCAGGAGTTTGAGACCAACCTGGGCAACATGGTGAGACCCCATCTCTACAAAAACTACAAAAATTGGCCAGGTGTGGTGGTGTGTGCCTGTAGTCCCAGCTACTAGGGAGGCTGAGGCAGGAGAATCGCTTGAACCCATGAGTCGGAGGTTGCGGTGAGCCGAGATCGTGCCACTGCACTGTAGCCTGGGTGACAGTGAGACTCTGTCTCCAAAAAAATAATAAAAGTAAAATATATGGGGAGGCTAAAGGAAGATGAGAGATATTTTATTAAGGTCTGTTTATAGAGAATTCTCTCAGCTTCGACTCCCTGTCTCTGGTGATAATGTTTCTTTCCTCCTGGAGGAAGGCATTGTTCACATGGGAGTTTTGTTTCCTGCTTTCAGGAAGAAAAGGGGAGGTTAGAGCACTCTTCTTATACTTACTGTTTTTCTTTTTCTTTTCTTTCTTTTTTCGAGATGGAGTCTGGCTCTGTTGCCTAGACTAGAGTGCGGTGGCAGGATCTCGGCACACTGCAACCTCCTCTTCCCAGAATTCAAGCAATTCTCCTGCCTCAGCCTCCTGAGTAGCTGGGATTACAGATGCTTGCCACCACGCCCCACTAATTTTTTTGTATTTTTAGTAGAGATGGGGTTTCACCATGTTGGCCAGGCTGGTCTCGAACTCCTGACCTTCAGGTGATCCACCCGCCTCGGCCTCCCAAAGTGTTGGGATTACAGGTGTGAGCCAGTGCCTCTGGCCCTAATTTTTGTATTTTTAGTAGAGGCGGTGTTTCACCATGTTGTCCAGGCTGGTCTTGAACTCCTGACCTCAAATGATCCACCCACCCTCGGCCTCCCAAAGTGCTGGGATTACAGGCGTGAGCCACTGTGCCCTGCCAAGACCTCGTTTCTACAAAAAATATGAAAATTAGTTGGGTGTGGTGGCGCATGCCTGTAGTCCCAGTTACTGGAGAGGCTGAGGCTAGAGGATCACTTGATCCCAGAGGTCCAGGCTGCAGTGAGCCATGATCAGGCAGCTGCACTGCAGCCTGAGTGACAGAGCGAGACCCTGTCTAAAAAACAAAAAAGACCTTCCCTTTACCTGTGTCTTAACTTGGGCTGTCACAATAAAATATCATAGATTGGATGCTCAAGCAACAAATTAATTTTCTCAGAGTTCTGGGGACTGGAAGTCAGATTAGGGTTCCAGTATGGTGACAGAGAGGAGGGGTGGGGAGAGGAAGAAAGTCTCATAAGGGCACTAATTCTACCAGACTAGGGCCTACCCCTTATACCCCAACTAATGCTAATCCCAACGGCCGCCCTGTCTCAGAATACCATCACACTGGGGGTTAGGGCTTCAACATATGAATTTGTGAGGGGGGAAGGAACACAAACATTGAGTCCATAGCAGTCTGGATAATTATCTTTATCTTAGTGCCTTGATGGTAACTGGTTTGTTACTCTCCAACCTTTTCCCCTAACCATGCAACAGAGTGTGTTTGCGTTCTCAGAACCACTCGGGTAAACTCTACTCCTCCTCTCAAGACTTCTAGTGAAACATCATTGTGACCTGGAGCAGTCATGCGCATCCGTGTGAGAAGACCACCAAACAGGCTTTGTGTGAGCAATAAAGCTTTTTAATCACCTGGGTGCAGGCGGGCTGAGTCCAAAAAGAGAGTCAGCAAGGGAGATAAGGGTGGGGCCGTTTTATAGGATTTGGGTAGATAAAGGAAAATTACAGTCAAAGGGGATCTGTTCTCTGGCGGGCAGGAGTGGGGGTCACAAGGTGCTTAGTGGGGGAGCTTTTTGAGCCAGGATGAGCCAGGAAAAGGACTTTCACAAGGTAATGTCATCATTTAAGGCAGGGACCAGCCATTTTCACTTCTTTTGTGGTGGAATGTCATCAGTTAAGGCAGGGCAGGGCATTTTCACTTCTTTTGTGATTCTTCAGTTACTTCAGGCCATCTGGGCATATACGTGCAAGTCACAGGGATGCCATGGCTTGCCTTGGGCTCAGAGGCCTGACAGAGCCTATGGTTTCAATTACATTTTAAACCATAGCTTACAGAACCTATTTAAGGATAATTTTCTATTTCCATAGCTATTATCTCAGTAAAGGGGGTAAGTATGACTAGGGAAGTACAGTGCGATATCCTGGTAAAATAGAGGTAGGGGAAGCTAATTTAGTGGAGAGGGGGCCTAAGTTACATAGGCTTGGTGGTGTAAATAACAACAGTAGCTTAATTTCTATAGCACTCCCTCTGCGCCGGTTTGCAGGCATTAGCACCTATGAAGTATGTACTCGTTTCCCTGTTGTATAGGCGAAAAACTGACACCAGCAGTTCCCCCATTCACTCAGCCTCTGAGCAGTGGGGCAGGAATAAAGGCTAACTGCTATACCATATACCTTTCTGAAAGAGTTACAAAGCCAGCACTTATTATCAAAGGGCGGTTGGGAGCAAGGCATTTCGGCGTATCTGGAAATGTGTGGCGATTTGTAAACACTCCTGAGGAGAGCTGGGATCCCAAGTATAAGGGAAGTTGGCCCAGGTGGGAACGGCTCCCCGGCCCAAGGGCTGCTAGAACCACAAGACTCCAGCCCCGAGCCGCTTCCGGAACCCGCGCGTGCTGGCCTGGCCTCTCCGGGGGCGGGGCGAGGGCGGCGCATGCGCCGAGGTCGGGTCGAGCCGGGCCTGGCAGGGGGCGAGCGCTCTGCGAGCTGGATGTCAGGGGTGCGGACGCTGCTGGGCCTCGGGCTTCTGGTTGCGGGCTCGCGCCTGCTGCGGATCAAAAGCGAGACCATCGCCTGCCGCTCGGGACCCACCTGGTGGGGACCGCAGCGGCTGAACTCGGGTGGCCGCTG